AGATGGTATATTACATGCTTCCAATCTCAAAGGTACCCAACAGGAGAGAATTGCTATCAATTCACTCCAATCGGTGTCACACTTTGGCACAGCAGAAATCCACCCAACATGGAGGTCCAAATTTGTACATAAGCTGTTTTTTAGGGTACTATATAACATGAGAACCAAATAACTGTTGGAAATCCATTAAACAAATGAATTCAGTTTAAAAAAGTTAACTATCATCTCGAGGTACCAGAGGTCAAAACACATTTTTCAAACCTAAAGTGAGTTTTCTACTTCTTGCCTGTCTTCCAGGTCCAGGAAAAAGAATGTGCTTAAAGGTGCTTGTCAAAGTTTATACCTTAATTAATACAGACCACTGAGTCTTGAATCTGTTCTCAATGTGTTCCTGGAAACTTAGCGTGTCATTTTAATAATATGAGTGACAGCCAGAAACTTTGAGTTTTTCTTCCCTTTTGAGAAGAACCCACCTATTTTCATGATCTTTTTGCCTTTATTTCTATCTGTAAAACATACTGCAATAGAAACTATTTAGATAAAAATTACCACTGTGCAGAACGAGTGCATAGGTGATACCCAAGAAACTAAGGAAAAAAAAGAAAACAAACGCTTTTGGACTGCAAAAATTTATATTATATCTTGGAAACAAACTGAAAATTCAAAGATGTGACCTCTTATGAGACACTTGAAATGATATTAGTTTGTGTTTAGTCTTCCCTCTGGAACCCTGCCAGAATGCAGTGAGAACCAAATTGCACCCAACAGTGATTAGGGCAAGTGGCATTCATCCACTCACCCAAACAAAGCTCCTTGACAAATGACAGACTCAACTTTAATCCAGCACTGGCAAGCCATGGAGAAGTGCTTAAAATGATCAATAGTAAATTCACTCTCTCTCTAACTCTTGCTGTTTCACAGCAAGCAATCAGCATTTTCTCTATTGTATAAACACCAGAATCACTCATTCTTCAACATTATCTATTTCTTTTTTGAGTTTTTTTTTTAATTTGTACATGATAATGTAATGTTTCCATACATATATACATTCTGTAATGATCAAATCAGAGTAATTGGCAAAATACTAACAAATTGAATTCAACTGTATATTAAAAAGATAATTCAACATAGTCAAGTGAGATTCATCCCAGTGATGCAAAGATGGTTTAACATACCAAATCAATAAATGTGTTTCATCACATTAACCAAATGAAGGACAAAAAAATATATGATCATTTTAATTGATGCAGAAAAAAACATTTGACATAAATATAACATCCCTTCATGATAAAAACCCTCAACAAATTAGGCATAGAAAGTAAATTCTCAACACAATAAAATCTAGATCTACCTAACCAATAGCTAGCATCATAAAGATGGGGGAAAGTTTAAAGCCTTTTCTCTAAAACCTAGAACAAGGCAAGATGCCCACTTTTACCACTTACTTTCAACAGAATACTAGAAGTTCTAGTCAGAGCAATTAGGCAAAAGAAAGAACAGGCACTCAAATTGGAAAGGAAGAAGTCAAATTGTCCCCGTTTGCAGATGACATGATATTATATACATAAAAAGAACCCATGTAGTTCACCAAAAAAACAGATAGAATAAATTCAGTAAAGTTGCAGGATACAAAATCAGTGTACAAAAATCAGTAGTGTTGCTATATGCTAATATTGAACTATTGGAAAAATATATTAAGACACCATTCTATTGACAATATCTACAAAATAAAAGGCCTAGGAGTAAACTTAACCAAAAAGGTGAAAGACCTCTACACTGAAAAGTATTAAACATTTTGAAAGAAACGTAAAAAGATGCAAATAAATGGAAATATATCCTGCATTCATGGATTAAAAGAATATTGTTAACTTGTCCATGCTACTTAATCTACAGATTCAATGCAGTCTCCATCAAAATACCATTATCATACTTCACAAAAATAGAAGAAAACAATCCTAAAATTTGTATGGAACCACAAAGACCCCCAATAGCCAAAGCAATCTTTAGTTATGAGAACAAAGCTGGAGGCATCATACAACCTCATCATAAAACCTGACTTTAAAACATGCTACAAAGCTATGGTAACCAAAACAACATGGTAGTGGCTTAAATACAGACATATAGATCAAAGGAATAGAATAGAAAAGCTAGAAATAAATGTACACACATAAAGGCAATTTATTTTCAACAAAGGTTCTAAGAACACCACTAGGGAAAGAACAGTCAATAAATGGTGCTGGGAAAACTGGATAATCCCATGCATAAGAACAAAACTAGACCTATATATCTCACCATATACAAAAAAAACAACTCAAAATGGATTAAAGATTTCAATGTAAGAATGGAAACTATGAAATTACTAAAAGAAATCATAGGGGAAACACTTTTTTACATTGGTGTGGGCAAAATTTTGTTTCTTTCCACACATATACCAATGTGATCGTCTAAAAATATCATGTGGATCATGTCACTTACAGCACAAAACCTTTGCAGATGCCATGTATCCTGATTGTTATGTAAAATCCTCAGTGTAACCTATAAGGCCTTTGTAGACTCATCTATGTTTCTTAAAAACATCCTCAACCCAAAGAGTCTAAGAAGGGAATTCCTACCATCTGTTCCTTGAGTGACATGAATAATGTACCTGAGCCATTTCCCAGCAGCCTTAGCAGCTCCTTAGTAGACCCACTCATTTTGTTTGATGTCACAAATCTGAAAGAAAATTGCTTTACAAATATCACTGATACTAGATTACACAGCTTAGACCAGGGCAAATGAAACCTGTTCTCATGTGTCCTTACCACCTCATTACCTAAGACAACCAACACTGAAGACTCAGGCATTGTCAGGATTCTGGTTTCCGAAAGTAAAAATTGCACATAGGCATTGCATTCACAGGAAGCAATAATCATGAGCAGTCACTGTTCATAGAGAAAACTTTGTTTCAAACATTAATAACTATTCTAATTATATATATATATATAAATATTTGATAGATCAAAGAACATTTATATATTGTAAATAAATATAAGTATAAAATAAATGCATGCTCACTTAGTATAATTGTGACCCTAGGCATCAGTGGATATAAATCTTCCTTCTCTACATAATTTTTCCCAGGTCACATCAATGAGAAACTTTAGTTTTTCAAAATGTGTTACTGACTTCTTCTGATAATGAAATTCACTAAAAGTATAGGTTAAAGGAAAAAATTCTAGGGTCATGGAGCTTTGAACTCAAATCCTGTTATTTGGTTTCATTCTAATTGTCCACATCAGGATTCTGGCAGTAAGCATATGATACACATATATAGGTTAAATGAAAAATGTTTAATAAGGAGATATTTATGTGTGTCAGCAAGTTTCAGGGAAACTGACAGGCAGAACTAGCTTCATGGGCTTCTGATCGCTATAGCAGCACGATCCTTGTGTTTAAATGCCCTCCACTTGGCTTAATGCTCAACAGTCATCATCTTGAAATTCTTAATAATTTTTAACAAGAACCCCCACATTTTCATTTACACTCGGCCCCACAAATTATTCAGCCAGTCCTGTCAATAGGAAGTGTTGGAGGACCTGAAGTAATTCTGCTCCACACAGACTGCCTGCCTTCCAATTCAAGACTGCAAGGTCAAACCTTCCCTGGGTCTCCAGCCTGCCTACATACTTTACAGATTTTGCACACAGCAGTGCCAAAAATCCTGTGAGCAAATTTCTTAAAATAAAACTAAAAATAGACTTCTAAAAAATAAAAATAAATCCCTCTCTGCTCTTTTTCCCTCTCTCTATATACATATATATAAATACATATGTATTATATTTAAATCTATCTACAGCTATACTTATATATCTATATAGAGATATCTATATATTTATGTATGTATTCATATATATACATATACATACATATTACATATATATAATATACATACACACACTGAAAGAGAGAGAGAGTAGGTGAAGAGAAGTGACTTTATCACTCCTAAACTGAAAGGGGTAATCAAGTAGAGAAATAATTTGTCAGAGAGAGATCCAGAAAAATAAATATCCCAGATTTTTCTCTGATCCACCTGGCAATTTCCCTCCCAGATCCTCTCTTTGTATCAAGACAATTGGAAGCCAGAGGGCATCAGAATTCATTCATGTAACCCACAAACATCAGCCTCTTGAGGCCAAGCACCAAATGGAGAAAGGAGGTAATAAATCTAGAGCACCAACCAGCAGCACTAAGTATCCTAGGATGATTTTTCTAAATGTAAAGTTATATAGTTTCTGGCACATGCAGTGCATAGCTATGAGTATAATGGTTACTTCCTCATCTGACCTCCTTTCAGCTCTATGAGGTACAATTGCTATTCCCTTTTCACAGATGCAGAAAAAGAGACTCAAAAAGTTGAAGTAAAATGTCCGCAATCTTACTGCTAATCAAATGGCAAAGCCATTTTATATGGGTTCATATGTTAGTCTGATTCCCAGAGACAGTGGTCTTGGCTACTTTCTAAACTGATTTAGGTGATTTTCTTTGTTGCACATTTGTATTTAATACACTCCCTCACACAAAATATTCAAAAGATTTCCAATATCTTCCTTCATATCTCATGGCCAACTTATATCCAACTCAAACAAGCTTGTTCTCCAAGATCATTCTCTTGGTAGGAAATAATCTCTGCTGGAATGAACCTAACAGCATCTTCCTGAAAAGTAAGAAGAGTTTTTCTCAGATTCTATATATCTATAGTCTTCAGCAGACTGCATAAAATATTTTTTAATATTTTATTTTTTGTATTTAATTTGCTTAATCTACCATCTCTTTTGGTATTTTTAGAAGTATGTAAGAATAATAGGTTCTTTTTTTCACCATCTTTTGCAAGTCTGACAGCATATGTAGTTGAAAAATCAACACATAGTAAATAAACTTTCCCATAGCTTAAGAATCTGGCATATTTAATCATTTCCAACAGCAGACCTGAACATGAAGAGAATTTTAACCTGATCTCAGACCTACTCACCAGGGCAGGAAAAGTACCAGGTGCTGACTCAGCTGCAAGTTCTGACAGGAGGTTAAATAGGACAGGCAAGCAAAGTCTAATCTCTGAACCTAGTCTATGCAAATCTCCAGCAAGTGGGGCTCTAAGGCCAAAGGCAATTCAGGATCAAATGTAGAAGCTGGACATGGCAGAAACACTGAAGTTCCAGAAGATACAGTCAATATCAAAGGTAGCTATCAGGGGTGGCAGAGTTTCATCTAATGGTCAGAGCTCAGGCTCAGAACACTCAATTCAGGAGTGAAAATGATAACAGTAGGTCAGGGTCCAAAAATAGAAATTTCCCTGCATACTAAGCAGGTTACTACAAGAGAACTACAATGTAACAACTAGGTCATAGAAACAAGGAACAAGGTAGAAGCAGATTTACCCAACTAAAGCCTCATACCAAATACTCACAGCAAGGATTAATAATGAGAACAGGCATGGCAATCATTCTCTGTTAATGCCTGATTCAAGATAAATCAGACCAGAACAGCTGATGGAGGCAGGGACTCAAGACCAGACTGAATTCCACAAACGCATGCAGCTTGTATTTCAAATATCAGACAGTATGTATTTTTAAATTTAGGTGCAAAGCAGAATCCAATTTGGAGCAGTGATATATGCTCTAGGCCATAAACTCATTGACTCATTCAGAGCACATATTATCTTTTGTTTTTGAGCCCTAAAGCCCCAATCAGTTCAAATCCTCTTAGTCAAAGTAAAAAGGAGCTTGTTAGAGGCTAGATGGAATATAACTTTGAACCAAGGGACTTCTATCAACTTTTGTCCTTTAATTTTTCAGAAAGTATGAGTTTTATATTTATAAAATTATATGCAATTATGAAATTTCATGTCATCTACAAGTTTTATGTAATCCATTATGTTTACTAGGGGGACAGGGTGCTATACATACATGAGGCTTACAAGTGAATATGTCAGTTATTTTTCAGTCAAGTAGCAGTTTGGCCATTGGCCTGCTACACTCAAGGAGCACTTACATATCAAGACTTTCTAAGTCATAACTAGAAAAGCTATTGTTCATCTATGCATCTTTTATTTAATCAGCAATTTACACATCCACAGAAACTGATGAAAATGGCATAGGTGGCAAAAGAAAGAGATAAAATTGTGTGACACTCCAAAGAGGATGAGGATGTCCCTTGTGCAGAGTGTAGACAATTAAGCTGGATAATTTTTTTTAATTCACTGCTCTCTAATTTTTTTATTATTATGCCTTAAGTTCTGGGGTACATATGCAGAACATGCAGATTGCATAGACATACACGTGCCATGGTGGTTTGTTGCATCCATCAACCCGTCATCTACATTAGGTATTTCTCCTAATGCTATCCCTCCCTGATCTTCCCATCCCCTGATATCCCTCCCCATGTACGACTTTTACCCTTCCTTTGCTTATTGTCATTTTTAATCTTTATAATTTTGACAAAAGCTTGGTGTACTACCAAATGAAGCAGACGACTTAACAGAATGATCAGGAAATAAGGCAATCAAAAAAAGCTCCACTAAAACCAATGTTATCCCAATGTGTGCATGCCCAAGGCTACACTCTTAATAGGCAATGCCAAAGGCTTCACATTATAGGGAAAACTGATTTTATGAAAATAGCCAAATTAATCAACAAGCAATCAACAACAATGACAAAATCTAAGTCTTTGAGAGCAGGAAGAAACTCAAGTTGCTAAAATACATTACTATTATAAAATATCCAGTTTTTTAACAACAGCAAAAATATAATACATGCAAAAAAAAAAAAACACAGAAAATAATGTAACCCACGAATAGGGAAAAAAGCAAGCAATACAAACTATCTGTGAGTGGGCAAGATGTCTGATTTAACAGCCAAAGATAGCTATTACAGATATCTTTATAGAACTAAAGAAATCTATGCTTAAAGAAGTAAAGCAATTATGGCAATATCTTATCAAATATAAATAAGGAAATAAAAATTATTTGAAAGAACCAAATGAAACTTTTGAAGTGACAGTAAAATAAATATAATGAAAATTCACTAGAAAGACTCAACAGGAAATTTGAAATAGAAGAAATAGCAGACTTGATGATAGATCCACAGATATTGTGTAATCAGAAAGAGAAAAAAAGAATGAGAAAAAGTGAACAAAGAAGCAGAAAACAATGTGGGATATCGTAAGTGCACTGATATACATGTACTTGAGAGTACCAGGAGGAGAGGTGAGAAAGAAGCATAAAATACATTTTAAATAATAATACCTAACAATTTTCCAAATGTGATAAAAATTATTAATTTATACATGAACTAGCACATTCCTTTATACATCTAAAAAGCTCAGGGCCAGGCACAGTGGCTCACATCTATAATCTCAACATTTTGATCGACTGAGGTGGGAGGATCACTTGAGTTTAGGATTTGGAGGTCTGCCTGAGCAACATAGTGAGACCTCCAACTCTACAAAAAATTAAAAAAAAAAAAAAAAAAAGAAGCCCAGCATGGTAGCACATTCCTGTAGTCCCAGCTATAAGGGAGCCTGAGGCGGGAGGATCACTTGAGTTTCGAAGGTCAAGGCTGCAGTAAGTCATGATCGTACTACTGCACTCCAGCCTGAGTGACAAAGTGAGATCCTGTCTCCAAAAAAAAAAAAAAGTAAAGTTCAACAAACTCCAAGCAGAACATAAAGAGATCCACACCCAGAATTGCTATAGTCAAGATGCTGAAAGCTAAATGCAAAGATAAAATTTTCAAAGCAGCAAGAGAAAAATGACTCGTCACAATGCAATTCTTATGAGATTAATAGCTGACATCATCAAAAACAATAAAGGCTGGAATGCAATGGAATGAAATATCTGAAGTGCTGAAAGAAAAGGGACTGTCATCTGGCAACTCTGTATCTATCAAAACTATCTCAATGAAGCCAAACTATAAACATTCACAGATTAAAAACTGAAAGAATTTGTTGCTGGAAAAAAACAAGAAATTCTAAGAAAAAATAAATGCAGAAACACGAAGAAATTTCTTTAGGCCAAAAGCAAGTGACCCCAGATAGTAATGTGAACACACACAAAAAGAACAGTTACGATAATTACATGATTACAGAAGACAGTATAAATGCATTTTTTTTTACCTTTACTGCTAATTGCTATTTAAAAGTTATATAAAATAATATCATGTTTTTAAATCTCTAACGAATAGAAATCTAATATATTTGACAATAACATTATTAAAAAAGTGAAAGGAAGCTAAGTTTGCTTGAAGTAAAAAATGATACCATATAGTAACTAGAATCCAGGGGAACAAATAAAGAGAATATAACACTCTGTAAACATACACTTTCTCTATACTCTCTCCTTACCTTCTTTAGTAGTCATGAAAATAGCTAATCTAATAATTATAACATGTATTAGGGAGGTTTTAATCTACAGTATCTCCCGTTCCATGAAGGATATACTCCAGAACCCCTAGCGGAAGCCTGAAACCGTGGATAATATGGAACCCTGTATACACCATGTTTTTTCCTATATGTATATGCTTATAATAAAGTTTAGCCTATAAATTAGACATAGTAAGAGATTAATAATAACTAGTAATAAAACAATTATAACCTATGCCAGCATCACTACCCATTATTGTCAAATAAGTGTTACTTGAACACAAGCACTGTAATATCACAATGGTCAGTCTCATAACCCAAACAGCTACTAAGTGATTGGTAGCTGTAGCAGGTAGCACAGACAACATAGATACAGTGGAAAAAGGAATGCTTCATGTCCTACTCAGGAAGAAGGATGCTGCAGATTCTATCAGACTACTCAGAACTGAATGCAATGTAAAATTTATAAATTGTTTGTTTCTAGAATTTTTCATTTACTGTTTCAGGCCACAGTAGATGCGAGTAACTGAAACCATGGAAAACAAACCCACAAATAAGTTGGGACCATTTCTCATATGCAATATTCATAATAATAATGATAATAAAATGGCACAATAGCAGGAAAAAGAAAGAGGGACTAGAACTACAGTTGATTCTTGAACAATGAGGGAGTTATGGGTGCCAACTCTGGCACGAACACGTGTGTATAAATTTTGACTTCCCAAAAACTTAACTACTAATAGCATACTGTTGACCAGAAGCTTTGTTAAAGATATAGAAAATATATTAACACGTATCTTGTATATCATATATGTACTGTATTCTTACAATAAAGTAAGCTAAAAAAGAGAAAATGTTATTAAGAAAATCATAAGGAAGAGGAAATGTATTTACAATTCAATAAGTGGAATTAAATCATCACAAAGGTCTTCATTCTCATCATCTCCAAGTTAAGTAGGCTCAGGAGGAGGAAGAAGAGACAGTGTTAGTACCACCGTCTCAGAGGTAGCAGAGGAGGAAGAAAATCTGTGTATCAGCAGATTTGTGCAGTTCAAATTGGTGCTGTTCAGGGGTCAACTGTATAAAGGAAGAATATTTTTAGATTCCATTGAAATTAATTTTTATAAATCTAAAGGAAATTTGAATAAAATGTGAATGGCAAGCTATAGGGAAACTTTAAAAACTTAAGTGAAAAGTAAAGAATTAAAATGTCACATAGAAAATATTAACTTAATAAAAAAGAAAGTAGCAGCAGAATAAAGGGAGGAAAAAAAGGATGTGAGACATAGGAAATAAAAAGTAAATGGCAGATGCGTATCTAACTAGATGATGACATTAAATCTGAACAGAATATTCAATTCAGTTAAAAGGTAGAGCTTTAAAGAATGGAGGTTAAATAAGGGCCATTGATGTTCTGCCTAAAGGAACACATCTTGATCTGTTATTGCGGCAAGTCCAACAATACAGTGATTGCAACCACAGACCCATAAACGTCTGTGTAAGACTGCAGACCTACTAATTTCTAGCTGTGCAACTTTTGGTCAGTTAAAACTCTAACTCAGTTTTCTCACCTGCGAATAAGATGAAAATAATAGTATCAATCTCATAAAATTGTTGTAAGGATTAAATGAATTTATTACACTTGTGCATGGCACAGAGTAAGTGGCATAAATGTTAGATATTTTTATAACATTATTATCTTTTGGTGGCCTGGCATACAGGTTGAGGGCTTAGGATGAGAAAAGAATGTTTCCCTCGTATCTCAGAGATGGGGTCACTAAAGAGAGATCAGGAAAAGGTTACAGGTCTAGGATATAATCTATTCACAAGTCTTTTCAGAAAATACATATGGCAGGTCCCTCTTGCCATAGGAAGTGCTAAAAGAGATTTTGAGTTGATAGTCTCTGACAATGAGTTGCACATGATTATTATAATTATTTCATGAAAATATCTAGAGTACCTCTTTCAACAAAAGTTAAGCGGTTCTATTCTTATGTACCTGAATAAAAAAACCTACCTGTACTTTGTGTGATTGATAATTTAGTGTAACCTAAGAATGCAAAGACTGATCAGACAGCAATGCATTCTGACCAACTTGTCATGTATGCAGAAAATAGAAGCTATAATTTCAACAAGCTGCATATTTTAAAACTTGCTGGCTGTGTTTAATAGCCCGTAGATCCAAATTAAAAGAAGCCATTCATATTCCACTCCATATGAGAGGCATGACAGAGAGAACTGACAGAATCCAGTTCCACTTCCTCTTGTCATTGGGGTGTTGTCCAGTATCCTTCAAAATAAACCTTAAGAACTTTGGACTTACAGACTTTCTAATATCTAAATTGTGGAAGAAGACATTGAAAATGAATTCCCAAGGCAAGGTTCATGGCTTTGATGTGAGGGGTATTAAGACCCTTCAAAATAAGAGGTATGTAAACTCAATGTGTAAAAAATGTTTAGAAAAAAATTACATTTTCTCAAATCAAAGACAGAACATTAAACAATTCTTATTAATGAAATAATTGTCATCATCCTCTGTCATTTCACAATGGTGTATACAAAATCAGGAAAAATACATGCAGTCTCTGTTTTACTCTGAATAACTGCCCTAAAATGGATCAGAAGACTATACACCAAGTTCAGGACAAATTAAATCATCTGCTAGAGAATGACTGTTTTTAATATTAGACTTGAATAAACATAATTATCTCTTACTGATGCAAAGTAAACACTACCTTCACGTACCCTTTAGAGCTCAACTAATTTGAAATGATTCTCCCATAATTTCAGGTGATTATAAAATGATGATTAAATATATAAAATATAAA